GGGAAATCTCACATCCTTCAGAGCTTTAACTACAGTGACAAGCAGTGATTTGGGGCGGGGAGGGTCTTCCTTTTTTATTTCCTTGACCTTTAGACCCTGTGGTAACTTTTGTTTCAGAGACACCCCTAAAGAAAAATGAGCAAACCTCATGTAATTTTCTTCATGTCCATGTGATGAATTTGAAAGACACATCTCTCCCAAAATAAAATATTCATAAACACCCCCTTTCCACCCACCACAGTGTGTCGTCATAAGTGGCTTTATCAGAACAAATTAGAGCAGGGTGTATGTGGGCCTAAGCATTGAATGTTTGTTTCTTTCTCGAAGCTGAAATTTCTTTCTTTCTTTCTTTCTTTTTTTTTTTTTTTTTTTTTTTTTTTTTGGAAGAAAGTAAGTGGGGGGGGAAGCTGTGATAGAAAGCTTGTTGGCCCTGTCCAGATCCAAATGATTTGCTTTCCAAGTCTTTAGCTAGCAATTAAACCCTGTGGCCTTGGATGGACTTCTGGTATATCATCTCCCTAAATTGAAAGTCTTCGTCCCAAACTGGAGAGGAGTCAATAGCTTTGACCTTGCCTTCAGGACAGACAAGATGAACTCTGCCCCTGTTTTCCAGAGTCAACAGTCCACAGTTCAGACAGAAACAGACCTGGAGATGGATATACCCAACTCCAGAAACACCCCAGTATGAGGAGAAGAGAACCTACCAGAATGGGTAGGACAGACGCACAACTCCACTCCAGGGGTGATGCCATATTCTTACAAGTCTAATCTGACAACCTCTCCAGAGCACCTGGTATTTTTTTCAAGAAGAAAAAGCTGAAGCTATGTGACATCAGGCGTGTTTTAAAGCTCTCTCTAGTCTTGGTTGAATTTTGATGATGGTGGTGGTGGTCTCATCGGTCTTAAGGGTAGGCTGACAATAAGTGGTGTAACAGAGTGTGGGAAAACCCTTCGTCTACAGTACGGGTAACCCAAGGATCATATTCACTGCCAAAAACAAATATAGGTAGACGCTTTGTATTCCTTAATGTCACCATACTAATAAGTTATAACTAATAAGTTGTCCTCAATGCAACCAGAATTGATTGCAGAAATGGAGTGGGAAACAAAAGGCTTTAAAATGCAACCTGTCACCTCGCTCTACCCTGTCACATTTTTGGCAGTCACCCTTGTTCAGAGATCAAGTCACAAGGACAGCTGAGCCCAGAGCAAGAAGGCTGAGTTCGCGGCTGCACCTCGATACTCTTCCCATGGCTGTGGTCCTCCTCCTGTGCCTCTCAGTCCAGCCTTCACCACGGCCCCTGTGCTAGGAGTGAAGAACGCCTTTCTTCTACTGATTCGGGGGTGACTTGTCCTTTCCTGTCTTGCTCTCCTTCCCCTAAAGCGATGGTGGCATCGCTGATTCTCACGAAGGTGGCAGACATGCAGGCTCACATTTGAGAGATGTTTTTCTTTGCCCAGGAGAACTGATGTTTGGATAAATGCAACCGACGGGCTAATGAGACACCAGAGAAGACTGGTTATCTTAGTTCACCAGAATATCACAGACTGAGCAATTATAATGAGCCAAAATTAATTGACTTGAAGGTCTAGCATCTGCAAATCCAAGATCAAGGTGTTGGTGGGGACCATCTTGCTACGTTATCCATCTGGAAGATAGTTTGTGGTAGACCAGGAAGGACACAGAAAATAACAAGAAATAAAGCAAGTGGCTGAGATTCATCCTTCTCTTTTTTTTTTTCTGTCCATTTCTTAGACATGCTCTAATTCCAAGTACTTTGAGGTGTTTCTGACATCTTCCTGTTAGCAATTCCTAGTTTTAAAATAATGCGGGGAGTACAATTCAAGTTTTTAAGTTATTTGTGTGCCTGTGTCTGTGTTTATATGTGTATGTCTGTTTCTGTGTGTGTGTGTGTGTGTGTGTGTGTGTGTGTGTGTGTGTGTGTGTGTTTATCCATGTCTCTGTCTATGCCCGTACCTGCCTGTAAGTGGTGGTCAATTCTGGGTGTCTTCTTCAGCCATTGCTGGCCGGATTTTTTGAGATAGGATCTTTCTCCAACCCTGAAGCTTAGTGATTTGATAGGCTGTCTGCCAGCAAGCTCCAGAGACCCACCTGTCTTCCCAGAGCTGGGTTAACAGATGTGCATCCCTATACCTTGGCTTTTTGTTCAGTTGGATCTTCAGGCTTGTTAATAATCTTTGTTTTATGGTCGGTCAAGAATGTGGCTTACCTTGGCAGATGGTTTCATATACATGTTGAAAGAATGAATATTCAGCTATGGTTGGGTGAGTGCACTATAATTGTCAAGTCAGTGCATGGAAACACATGCATGCAGTCATATGTGTGTGCATGTTCCTATGTGTTTATGTTTGCATATATGTGTGAACATGTGGAGTGAAGATTCAGAGTTCTTGTTGGGAGTCTTCCTTGATAATCTCGGGTTTGTTGTTTGTTTGTTTGTTTCAGTTTTATGAGTTAGGCACTATCTCTCTGAACCTGTAGGCTACTGACCCCAGGTAGCCTGGATACCAGCTTGTTTGGGATCCTCTGTCTCCAGAATGCTAGGGTTATAGGTGGCTGCTATATGTGCCCCAGCCTTTACATGGGTGCTGGGTATTTGAACGGAGGTTGTCATTGTTAGGGCTGCCATTGCTGTGACAAACTACCATGACCAAAAGGCAAGTTGAGAGGAAAGGGTTTATTGGGCTTACATTTCCTAAAGGAAGGCAGGACAGGAACTCAAGCAGAACAGGAACTTGGAGGCAGGAGCTGATGCTGAGGTTGCGAAGGGGTGCTGTCTGCTTTTCTTATAAAACCCAGGACCGCCAGCCCATGCACCGCACCACCCACAGCGGGCGGCTCCCTCCCCCATCAACCACTAATCAATTAAGAAAATAACCCTACAGCTGGATCTTGTGGAAGCGTTTTCTCGGCTGAGAACCCTTCACTTCAGATAACTCCAGCTTGCATCAAGTTGAAATAAAACCAGCACACTGGTCTTCCTCCATGTGTGACATGTATGTGTCGTCTGCTGAAATAGCTCCATGCCCTCATGATTATCTGCACGTTCTGTGCACTGGCCTTGCTATACTGTGCTTTGCAGCTTCAAGTCTTTTGTTTCTGCAGGGAATTTGGAACTAGGTCACAAACTTCAGCTAACCTGTAGCTGTAGTGTAGCTTGGTTTGGGACCAATCTATCATACTCACCTTCCAGTGACCCCACTGTCCCGAGGCCGGATCATCACACTCTGCAGCCCTGGACCTCCCAGAACACACTATGCAAAGCAGACTGGTCTTGAACTCACAAACCTGTCTCTGCCTCCTGAATGCTAGGGTGTGGCACACGCATGCAGCCCCAGTGTGACGTCCTGTGGCTCAGTCCACAATGCATATGGTACCACATTTAGTGTCAGAGTCGGCTTGCTGATGAGCCCTGGAGTTGCGCACAGTCTTGTGTCTTTCCTATGCCTCTGCCTGCAGCATCGGCAGGGCTTTGGAGAGGCATGGGTCCCCCCCCTCTCCTCCTCCTCTTGGCAGTTTTCAACCAAGGATTGGGGTTTATTAACACCATTCTCCTATGCACATCTCACGTTGCAGAAAGAGACAGAGAAAGAGTACTAATAGGAGTTCACCACACTCTGTTGGAACCCAGCTCCTTGTACCTACAGGAACATTCCTCAGTCCCTGGAGAAATAAGTTCCTAAGTATCTCCAGTGACACTCTTTCGTTGAGGTCACGCTTCGGACACTGAATGGGCAGTGTGACCCAGGGAAGGGATGAGGAAATGTAAGAGGAAAGAAGGCTGGAAAATCCTTTCTCAGTCTTCATCAACGGCTCTTTGGTTAGACCTAAAACCCACGTACACACGCCTTGGGCCAACTCACAGTCTAGATCACTAGGTATGAAAAAAAAAGGGCAGGGAGGTTGATAAGCTTTGCATTCTTATTTTTTTTCCAACCCACTTGTTTTTGTTTACTTTTCAGAGTCCCAGAATGTATTTTCCTTTTTACTTTCTCAAAATGTGGTTTTTGTTTATGCTTGTGTGATGTATGAGAGAAAGTAAGAGTGTGAACACATGCTTATGACAGAGCCTGCAGAGAGCTCAGAGGACAACTTCTGAGAATCGTTCTGCCTTTATGCAGGCTCCAGAGATGGAAGCCAGGTCATCACGGGACACCAAGAGTGCTGAATCATCTCAGTAGCCCTCAAAGTGGGTTTCCTGTGCCTGTCTCTGGGTTGTACATGTGACAGGAAGGACGGTGTTCCCGTTAGAGTTTCTGTTGCTGTGATTAAACAACATAACCGAAACCGAATCGGGAAGGAAAGGGTTTATCCCAGATGACAATTCTCAGGTCCATTGCCCAGGGAATCTAAGCCAGGGACCTGGAGGCAGGAACTGAAGGGGAGTAGTGGGGGAGGAGCCTGCTCATGGCTTATTCCGCCTACTTCTTCCAGGCTTTCTAGACCACCAACCCAGGGGTGGTCCTGCCCACAGTGAGCTGGGCCTTCCCGCATCAGCATCAACCAACAAAATGCACCACAGGCTTGCCCACAGGTCAATCCGGTGTGGCATCTCCCTCTCCCAAAACGATTTAGCTTGTAGCAAGCTAACATAAAACAAGCAGTCAGGTTGTGCGTGTGTTTATTTCGTCTCAATTGAAGTGTCATCCCAGGAATACTGGGAATGTTATCGAGAAAGGCCTATGAGGACCCTCTGGGAGGCCATACAGGTTTGACAAGGACGGGTTGATGGAGGGATGGCTCCTGTGTTTAAACAACGATGCTTCATCATAGTGGAATTAAAGGATTGTGACCACTGTCTTTGTTCAATGCATATAAAAACAAGAGGCCACCTCGTCCGGATGGTGCCGAGAAAAATCGGGCTTTGCTGTCGCGCTACTGTTGCTCAGCCACAGTCTCCCACACATAGGGAATTTGTTTTGGTTGTCCTCTCTGTCCGGCTAATATTCGTGAGGTAAATATTAATAACTCTTCGTCCTAAAAGCAAATGTGTCGTCTTTATTGGACGTAGCTAAGGGAAAGAGGGTATTCTACAAACACGGACTGGGTATATCTGCTCCCACGTATGTACAAGTCTCCTCAGCACAGTGAAGCCAGAGGCAGGGAGCTCTCTGGGACCCTTGGGAACTCAGTTATCTTGGAACAAGATAAGCCTGGCTGCGCTGGCCACAAGAGGTTTCTGAGTCGAGAGAGGCTGGCAGGAAACCTGGCCATAGCCAGGGTATAGTGGTTCAACAAGTATGGGTTCCTCCCCACTGTGATCCTTCCCAAAAGAAACTTCCTCCCGGCATAATTTATACCCTTTGCCTCCTCTTCGACTCTGAGATTTCCAACGAGGATGCTGCTTCCTGCCAAAGCCACGGTGGTTCCTGTGATGTGGGACCTCTGTGAAGAAGGACCCGAAGAGCATTTCACACACACACACACACACACACACACACACACACACACACACACACACCAAGTGGCCAGATGGCAGTAGCTGATCCGCTCTGCATGTGAACCTCATTTGGTCCCCAGTGGATGCTCCTCATGACATACATGGAAGCCCTTTACTGCCCACACGATGAACCACCCTGTTCTGACAGGAAAGGCAGTGTTCTAAGGTCATAAACATCTGCACCAAGCTATAACCCTATTTTAGCTGCAGTTCAACTTATGAGAACGAAATTCACCTTGCTAATTAAATGATGGCCTGGCCCTTAAGCATATCATCTTGTTACCAAGGAAGACTTAAACAAAGACGGCTCAGTCTGTATACTTGCAGAGGAGGGACCGCCCTAAGCAGGCAAACAGCTCATACAAAGGTGTGGTACCCACTTTTTCTTGTTTGCCAATGGATGTGTGCATTTATGCCCCAAACCCTCACCTTGACTATTGCCGCCTCTCCAGTTTGTAGGCAACTAATAGTCGATTCTTTGTCCCTTAATTGAACTATTGACCTGTGCCTAATTAGTCCCTACTTCTAGTCCTACTTACTCAGGGTAAGCTATCTACTTTGATTTCTGCATGAAAGTTCTCTGTACAAAGGAGAAACTGTAATCAGCTCCATCCTGTTGCTAAATCTAAATCCTGCAGACCCCACCTCCCCAGTGGGAAGGCTGTCCATGCTATCCACAACCTAGGAGAACTTGACTCGAATCTCTTGACATGCTGGATGTCGAGCCTGTATTTTTCTGGAGCTGGTGACTTGTGATGTGGCCTCCTCCTTCTGTACTGAGCAGGGCAGAGAGCGCAGCTGTCACCCAGCCCGTCAGTCAACCACAGAGGGAATGACCACCGTTCTAAACTGGAACAGGGGATGAGTTCTCTAAATGCACTTGCCAGTCACGATGCTTTCTGCCAGCGGTGGATTTCCATGCACAATATCAAACCGCAGGTCTAGAGACATGCACCTGGTCCATGCCTTCGAAGAAGTCATTTCCCACAAGAGCTCTGGAGAGCCTATCTATCTAGTGCTCACCATTTATGTTTCCTTTCTGTCCATCAGCATTGATGGTTAAAGGCGCAGCAAAGATTTCCTTACAGAAAAGCATTAGATAGAGTTTCAATCACTCATATCTAATAAAATAAAACCATACTCACCTGATTGCATGCACACACACACACAGGATGCATTCACACACGGTACAGAAACAGGTGTGCAGACATAGTGGGCAGCCCATGGCCATACAGGAGGAGCAGCTATCCCCGCTGATTCTGCTCAGGCTACTCGGAGTGTGCACCGAGTATATGCAGAGGTCTGATGTGTCACACACTCTCTATGTGATCATTCCAAGCACTCAGACCCTAACTCACACTCACTGTTTCGTCCCCCTGCCCGCCAAGCCTTCTTGGTACTGAAAGAAGGGTGACTCAGTTTCCCACCAGCCTGACCCGCACAGCACGTTCTGCCCATCAGCACCTCTTCTGGTGGGTGGGGAGGAGGAGGTCCCTGGCCCCGCGGCCATCCCCTGAGCCGGGTGTCCCTCCCGGTGGTTTCTGTCTTGCCTGGTCCTTTTCAGGGGAAAACCCCCTCGGGATAATTCTGAGCCGATTGCACATAAGCCTGTTGGAGTTCTTCACAGGCATGTGGTAACATATCTGGGTCCAGAACCTGGAACTGGGTTGGACCGATTTCAGGCCTCTCCACGTGACAGTGGGGAGGACCCTGAGGGCCTTTCTGACTAGATACGGCAGAGATTCTGGTACTTGGAAGGAGCAGAACTCGATTAAAATTAACTTCAGTGTCTGGTCAACCAAGGCAAGGCTCACTGCTGCCTGAAGTTCGAAGACATGGGGTCCATTGACATAGCTGGGGCTCAGGATGAATATTCCTCTTCGGCTCCTCTTAATGGTGTCCACGATGTCATCCGCATACACTGGAAACACATAAATCAATGGCTTACAACTGATACAGTTAAAGCTTGAGTGACAACAACTTTGAGCCTCCAAATGGTGCTCGCTGGGCTTCTTCTAATTTGGCTATTCTTGGGCAAAGAGATGAGGAGAAGAGTTTCCTCTGTCTCTTTATTGTCAGTACTCCGGACTGTTGAACATAGACACCAGTACCGAGAGACTGTTCCCTATTCTGCTTCCCTAGATCACCATCTACACTGCCCAAGTCACATTGGAGCGTGACTGAGGGGTGTGGTATATCCCGGGCTACTTGTGGAAGTTTCTGAGGCAGGGAAGGGTTAGCAGGCCATTCCCGGCCTAGATGCTTCTTGGGTGACATCCAGCTGACTAGCCTGCTAGAAATTTAAAGAGTCGAATTCTAGAGGCTAGGAAGGCCATCTGTTTGAGATGAGTCAGATTTATTTCCCACAAAGAATCCAGGGAAAAACAAATAAAAAATACCCTTTGTCCTGGATGGCCTTCCCAGAACCTTCTATTATTTATTATTCTCCTGAAAAATAGATAGTTTTAGAAGACAAGAGTGTGTCTCTGGAACACACATTTCTGTATTCTTGCCCGAGATGATCTAAGCTCATAAACACACACACACACACACACACACAGAGAGAGAGAGAGAGAGAGAGAGAGAGAGAGAGAGAGAGAGAGAGAGAGAGAGAAGAGTATATCACATAGGAGATGTGATAGAAAACACTTTGAACTAGAGTGGATCACTCTTTGTGTTCTGATTGGTTTCTCTACAGCGTAGACCTACCTCCTCCTGGAGTCACGTCCCTTTCAAGCAAACACAGGGTGTATCCATATTTGTTTTCTAGCACTTCCGGGAAAAGACTCAAGGCCAAGTGTCCCTCACTCAGTGATCCGGTGGCTCCGCTCTCGGGACAGCTCCGGTTTGCATAAGATACAAAGGCATCAAACTCCTTCTTGTCTAAGGAAAAAGAGCAAACGCATAGCCAGTGTCCTTTTTCTTAAACCACACGGTATGTACAGACACTCACTCGGAGCATATGGGGAAATGGTTAACAAACAAGATTCGGGATTCTTACAAAAGTGAATTAAAAACAAAACCAGCAGATGCATCCATTTTAAAATCACACCACCGAGTGGTTTGGATTGTCCATGTAAAACCCAATGATTAATTTATGAAACCTACATCAAACGGCTGCCGCCTCCCGTGACTGCATCGCATACGATCAGGGAGGGCGTCCTTCTTTGCTGTTTCTGGCTCATTAGTTACACATCAAAGAGGAGTCTGCTCCATTAAGGCATGATGATAACCAGAAAGCAAGTTCTGTTAAGACCAGAACCTCGGATTCATCCGAGAGACGATGGCACAGTTAAAGCCACGCACCGGCAAGTGTGGGCGCGGTCAATAGTGGGCGCGTGCGCAGTGGAGGTCCCTGCCACATAGCACACAGGTAATCCCCGTGGCTTTAGCGGCGCTATAGACATCCCAACATTGCACTGCATCACATCCGTCCGGTTTACAGTGATGCTGCTGTGGTCCACTACGTGCTCAACAGACAGACATGCGGCAGTCCAACTATGCCCAGTACATGACGCTTGACAATGGGTAACTGTGTGACTGGCCTAAACGTTTATTGTAATACACCTGTCATCACCGGGGAATACATGCCCAGTTGTAAAGAGCATTTGCTCAAAAACACAACCAGCAGCTTCACATATCTGCTATTTGTCAAGTCTCTTGGCTGAATAATTTCTCTTTTCTGCTTAATAGAATGTTGGTCGTTTTCGTTCATCACAAACCTGGGAATATTAAGGACATATCTATACATCTACATAGATAGTACGGGTGTGTGTAGTAGTAGACTTATATGCATACACTCTCCAGAGAGCCCACAGCCCAGGGTGTAATTAGCTAGACCATCTAGATTTATACACGTACAGTATATTCTGTTTCTACAAAGAAAAGTAGCCTAAAGGATTCATTTTGTCCTTAAGTGGCACACAACAGGGCTTGTATCTGAGTCTATGAGTGTAGGGTGAGGTCAGGAGAGGCTGCCCAGAAGGCTGTAGAGGGTCACACGTGCTGTGCTGGAGTCTCTCGTCTTACCCAGCCCCTCCCCTTATATTTGAGAAGCTGCATTTATAGACATTGTCTTAAGATATGGTGAAGGTCCCATGTGTTCTCGTCAGGCAGGCAAATAATGAGCCATGCAAAAGAACTATTTAGACAAGACAGAATATCCCACAAGTTTACTCACAGGCTTTGGGACAGAGTGTCTGGAGTTTATGTTGCAGCCTGTTTCACAACCTACACACACACATACACAAGTGTTGTTACAGGTAACTAGTGTCCTGGGTGGTTTGGCAGTGCCCTTGCCCAGCCTGGATCCAATGAGAGGCCTTAGGGATTGCCAACCACGAGGAAACCCAAACATTGAGATGAGGTTACAGAGCCAAAGTTCCAGAAGCTGCCTGTGTTGTGAGATTCTTCCCATATAGAAGGAGGAGATCTGGGGACATGACCTGTAGTTAAGTGCTGACGTGTGACATGTCATAACTGCCCTCATTCTACCCATTGTCTTTTTAAAAGCCCCGAGGCTAAGGTAAACTCATTTGGTAATGAAATTACAGAATGTGGAGTCGCAGGGCCTGCTTATGTCTTCCTAACGGTACTTCTTTTCTAAATTAAGTTTAGATCGTCACAATAAACTCTTGGGCTTGCAGTGTGTGAGCGAGCATCCGTTTGACCAGCAGAGGGCGATAGATCGCTGTGCTTGCAAACCCAATTCTGCGGTGCAAATTACCTGCATAGTTAAAAAGTAAAATGGCACGGGACAAATTTGAATATTTCCCGATCAACTGGCTCTTCTTCATAAATTCTAGACTCTTAAGGTTAAAAACGAACATTGTAGTGAAAGAAGTGAGGAGTCACCTGGGAAGATTCAAATTAAAAAACTAATTAAATAAACAAAAATTCTGAAAATACTCTTTGCTTAAGGATTTCAAAGGATGCTATTAATAATTAATCTAAAGAAAGCTGCGGCATATGTATATTTTTTCTCTTGTTTTCTTAGCTTGGTTGTGGGTGATTCTTTTTGTTTTCTGGTGTCAGGGGGTTGAACCTGGCACATCTTTTTACTTCCCTTTCTGTGAGAGGTTACTTCCTCCTGTAGAAGCCACTGGCCTCCACGTGAGGTTTTCCAGGGCCAGCAAAGTTGAAACAGTACTCTAGTCCCATACAACACTGATGAATGTCGTGATCCCATCTTGTGGATAAACTGACAGAAAACTCATCAGCAGTAATGGAACTTGTATTTTGTGCAACTTCCCATTTCTTTGGGATAAATCCCTGGACTGGAATGTCTTGCTTTCACGTGACAATAACCCAGATGACAGAATTTCCTGAAGCCAGACTATGTAGATTTAAGACCCAGATACAGCTGTTTCTAGTGGTCTAATCTGAAGATCGGGCTTCATCCTTTTCTGCCTGGGGAACTGTGAGAATGTCAGTCAACACACAGGCAAGGTCCTCCTCCAGTCCTCAAGGGACACCTGTTGCTGGCCAAACTGAGTTCCTATATGCTAAGGAGTCCTTCTAAATGCATGTGGTACCTAATCCCTGTGAACTCACACACTATCCTCTGACTGCTGTGGTGACAGTCCTGTTTCATGGCTGAGGAACCTAAGACATAGAGCAGTCACTTGCCTATTATGTCAGATTGGTTAGCAACAAGAACACTTTCCAGCCAGCCCCATAAATCCCACAAAAGTGTCTTCTACAAGGTTCCTGGTAAGTGGAATGGGCTAGAATTGTTTCTTCGGTCTTCTCCAGTGTAAAGCCAGAGCTGGAAGAAGGCATCAAACCTGAGAGATAAAAAGCCACACATCAGGGATTAGCTCCCTCTGACTTCCTCTCTCACAAGCTGCTCAGCCAGCAGGAGGCATGTGAAACCACACTGAAGGCAGCTCTTAAGAAAAGATAAGCCAATGAGTAGGAAGTAACAGTAATGTGTGTCTTGTCTTGTCACTAAGTCAGAGAATAGCATGTTGGGTGATCTTACCCATCAGAGTCTCATCCTTGCTCTGGTAGGCTCGGCACAGCAAGACTATTTCAATCCAGTACCAGTAGAGAAAAGCTGCTGCTGTCAGAATGGCCACCAGCATCAAGGCTGTGCCAAGGAGGATGTAGACAAACACCACTGTGGGGAAACAGAGCTGTGAGCCAGCACCTCTGGACGAGCAGACCCCATTACGTTTACAAAGCATCTGTGCCGCCTGCATTCACCTTGAATCTGAGGTCATCTTAGGTCTGGATGGAACTGTCCACAATTAACTTTAGAGAGCCAAGGGGCATGGGATGTTCCTGGTGGGATGACCTTCAATACTTAGCCGTTTCAGTTATTTTTTATATCTAGGAATGTCTACCCCGATCATTGGTACCTGTTATAAATCATTGTCTTGTATTTTTTATCCTCGCCAAAGTCTAAACATTCCTAGACCAGAAATTACATCAGCTTCACCCTGTGCCCTTCATGGTTCATGTTATAAGTAAGGTGTCTACAGAGAACGGCGACTATTATGGTACACTCACTGAAGGCCAAGCATGAACATTGTCACCCTTACATCTCAAAGACATTTACGCTTTGATGGTGCTGTAGTCACCCACTGAGTGAGTGAGGACTGATACCAACCTCATCCCTGAACATCTTGTTAAGAAGAAGTCTTTCCTCGGTGGACATTTCTACTAGCTGTTATCATGTTCTCTGCAAGCCAGCAGAGGCAACCAAGAAAGAGATGGATGTCTGAACACCAGTCCTGCCCAAGTAGGTGTGGGTCAGGCCGGGCTGGAGATCCTCGCAGGTAGCAGCAGCTGGATGAGTGAGTGCATTGAGTGCATATGTGGATGAAGAAGGAAAATGATTGGGTGATGGAAAACTGAGTAAACTATGTGAGTATTGAGAGAGCTGAGTAAGGGGTGTTTTCATGCACAGATTTCATGCACAGTTAAGAAGCTGAGGTCAAAATCCGTTGTATGGCTGTGGTCCACGCCTTAAACAGGTTAGCACAGCTCAGTGCTTCGGTGTCTGGCAAGTGATAGCTACAAACATTGCCTCTGCTCTTTGGGAAAGCGTCCCTCCCCCTTTCAAAAAGAGCAGTTGTCAATCTTTAGGAACAAAGTTCTCTGCTTACCCCCCTCCTTCTGCCTCAGCTGGATGGTCCGTGTTGTGTTCCCGATGGAGTTCTGGGCAAAGCAAACAAACTTCCTGCTAAGATCTCTTTGAGTGACTTCTCTCAGGAAGATGGTGTGCTCAATGACTTTGTTCTTGTAGTTGGATTGAATGCTTTGAAAAGGAGGGGGAAGAAAAATCGAATCCCTGCTCAGTAGCATCTACTGCCAATCACCCACCTGTGCTTGAAAGACTGGCCAAGAGCTGGTGGGATTTTACCATAAGAAGACTGGGGAAGAGCAGGGAGAGATGCAGGAGGCTCTCATTCTTGATCAAGTGGTAGACTCAGTTAAAGATTTACACTAAGTTACTTGGTCCCTCATCTGGACTTTATGCTAAGAATTCCCCCTGGGAATGTAGAATAACAAAACATTGAGAATAATCTCAGTCTGTAAAGTGTTTGCTTCCCAGGCATGAAGCCTTAAAGTTCAATCCCCAGAACCCAAGGAAAAAGCTAGGCATGGTAACATGTATTTGTAAACCCAGCATTGGCAGAAATGAGTGGATCTCTGCAGCTCCCTGATGGCCAGGATATCTTAGTCAGCAAAAGACTCTGCCCTACCCCCAACCCCCGCCACTACAGCCCTTACCACTGCCACCACCAACAACAACAGAAAACAAAGTTAGTAGCATTTGAGGAATGAAGCATGAGATTTACTCCTGACGTGCACATTCAGGTACACACATTCGTATACATATCTACACACGCACATGCAATCAAACACATGCACATACAGCTAATTCCTCTTGCATTCTGCTTTCAGGTACTTTGCCGAGCACTGACTACAGATTCTCCAATCCCTTCCTTTCTCGCTGCACACAAACCCTAGTTGTCAAGATATGCACACCGTAACTTGGTGCTGTCAGGGCCAAGGCCCAGAGGATAGAAGAGCAGTACCGGGTCCCAGTGGTGACACCATCCTGTGCTTTATCCGTACTCCAGCCTGGTTCCCAGTTCTCTGCCAATCAGCCCTGCTGAGAAAATTGTGGTTCTCCCCAGGTGTTTGGTCCCTATTGTCTAAAACTGTGTCATATTGTCACATTAAGGAACAGTGTTCAAGTGGGTGTTTTAGGTTATCCTGTGAGCTTTGCATGTGGTTGTTGGTTCAGTGGGAAAAGTGCTGACCTAGCATTCATGAGGTTCTGGGTTAGATCCCAAGCACCACACACAGAGAGTGTGGGGGCACAAGCTCGTAATCCCAGCACTTGAGAAGGTCAAGTTTATCCTTGTCTACATGGAGAGCTTGAGACCGATTTGAAATACACAAAACCCTTTCGTGAAAAAAAAATTAAACTAAATTAAAAACACTTCAACATGGTCTGGGTTGTTTTAAACAATCGTGCAAACATCATGGTGTTCTTAACACAGGCAAGATGTCTCCAATGTTCCTAAGTGGTACAGTCTTAGGGACCAATATTGGATATGGTTCCACCACTGGCCGACTGACTGCTATGCATACCTGGTGCACTTTATGGTCTCATCAGAAATGGGGAACCAAAAAGCTTTAAATTGATATGACAATAAGAGATAAGAGGTAGATAGGTGATAAGTGGATAGACAGATGGATGGATAGATAGACAGAAAGATGATAGATGGATGGATGGATAGATACATAGACAGATAGATGCTAGATGGATGGATGGATAGATAGATAGACAGACAGACATATAGATGCTAGATGGATAGATAGAAAGACAGGTAGATGGATGGATGAATAGATAGGTAGACGGATAGATAGATGGATGGATGGATAGATGATAGATACATAGATAGATAGATAGATGCTAGATGGGTAGATAGATAGAATGATAGACAGAATTCATGTATTTTAATTTTCACCACTATGTTAACTCTATCTGCTTTAGCAATTTCTAAAGGTTTGAAAGCACGAAGTTTGGGTTGCAAAGACCAAAGTTCACCAACTTTTTCTTACCATTTCTCCTCAAACACTTTGAATTCCCACTCCTGAGTAGACTCTTTGACGTACCACTTTATTACAGGCTGGAAGTCTCTTTGGAAGCCAAACTGGACTTTGCAGGATAGAGTCAGGGACTTTCCTGAAAATACAGAGGTCGAGGAAACAGGAAGGCAGCATATCAGGGTACGGGTGTGGCAGGAAGAAGAGAGGCGGCATTGGGACGGGGACAGGTTCCATGGCAGTGGGTACCAGGGACAACCAAGCGTCAACACATCCCGCTTGGCAGCATACTTCCTCATGGCTAATTTGTGTATCTCAAATGTGTAGCTACGTCCTTAACAGGGGCATTTCACAGTCACATCGCTGTGGAAAAGTTGGAGCTGTGTGAATGGCCCGGTCATCAAAAAGGTCCTTTTGCTAATTGGTATTTACATATTGAATGAACAAACGGAATGAGAATGAGGTTACCATGAACAAAAAGTCCAGAGGGAAGAAAAGGCCCTTACACACTTACACTGAACCTTCTACAAGCCCAATTAATTTTTAGGACCTCAATGATCGAGGAAACCTTGGGATAGTCTAGGTTCACAGCCTTGTCATAATTTGTCTTGGGACTTTCCCACGGTCCTTAACAATCATTCCTTGACCACCTCCGTAGCTGAATTAAGGTCCTTATGACTATTTTATTTATTTATTTATTATATGTTTTTCGTATGTATTAGTGTAATGTGAGATTCTTGGTCCCGCAGGTCCCCCAGCCCTTGAACCCCAAATAAGCACACAGATGCTATAGTAGTTATAAAGCTGTTGGCCGGTGACTAGCATTTCTTATTGGCTAGCTCTGTCTTAATTCTTAACCCATTTCTATTATTCTAAGTATTTCCATGCGGTCTTATCTCACCTGGGAATGCTGGACTGCTCAGCATCTCCACAGAGAAGAGAGCCATTTCCTGTTTGTCCCTGCTTATACCCTGATTCTGCCCAGCCATGTCACTTCCTGTCTGGCCAAGCAGCCAATCAGTGTTTTATTCATTAACCAATTAGAGAAGCATATATAGGGAAGAACAGTCCCCGTCATATTACTTTAACAGACCACTGGCTTCCATCAACCAAACTGCTAAAACTGTTGGGTGAGAGCCCTTGGGACTAAGGCTGAGGTCCTCCCACAGAGCTGTAATCTGAGTAACAGATCTCTCTCCCAGTAGATTTGAAAAGCGTCTTAATTTATTTCCTTTTTTCTTCTTTCAGGGAGGAAAGCTTCCCTGAAAACGTTACTGTAGCACGTGGTTCAGGGAGGAAACTATTTAGATTCTTAGCTGTGCTTCTGCGCACTGCACCGTGGACGAGCTGTGCTTGCTTCCGGGTCCCTTTGCCTACCACCCCTGTGAGGGTTATCCTCCACTTTGAATCGACTTCTGGATGAATAGGTGGGGGAATCCAGTTGAAAACTTCTCTTTGGACCTTAATCTTTCCCCCATCATCGGTGCATTAGAATTTACTGGCACCTTACCCAACTTGTCTGTGTGCTTTTTAAGGGACTGACTGATTTCCATTCTCCTGATTGTCTCTGCCTCACTTTTTCTAGCCCTAGAATGTTCCACTACCGCCACCTACTGACCACATGGCCTAATAACAGTTTGTTTACATTTCCTTGTACAAAACTAAATCTTTCATTAGCATTTGAAATGGTAAATGTTGCACTGAAACACCACGATTTGCTTTCAAATATAAAATTTCTACTTGGCTGTGTGTAAAGTAATAAGAGGTTGAATGTGACAAAAAATAAAAGGCAATCAGATGAAAGGCAATCACTCCTCTCCCCAGAAGAAGGCACCATTTTGGAATACGTTTGAGCAAGATTTGCAGCGCTATGATTTCCCTAAAGAACAGCTCAGGGGTCATATTCATAAGGGTTAGTGCTAACCTTGTAAATTCATACACATAACCTAAATGGAAATATATGCATGTATACACATGTACGAATGCCTTTTCTCAGGAAGAATTTAAAACCTGTTTATCTTGTTTAGCTCACCAGGCACTAGAATATGCTTCCTCACTCTATCTCAATGCAAGATGAGCATTCCACAGTGAGGGGCAGATCTAATGACTGGGGCCTAGGAGGATTAAGAAACCATGCCTGGTGATAAAAGTTGGGACCAAGTTAAGGTACACAGCCAATAAATACTCTGATCTGAAAGTCTAATGGCCCTTTATGTCACACTGTGATCCATCCCTTGAAGTATAGGGTCATCAGGTATGGTACTATCAGTCAACTCACCAAGTTCTACTTCCAGAGTGTCTGTGATGGGATCCAGGATGTCTGGTTTCAGGTTGATGTCCTTAACTGAAAGGTGAAAACAAAAATTACCTTTTGCATTAAGAAACCTGAAGGCCTGCTTGCTGAAGATTTGGGAGTATCCACTCAATACTGACTTAAGTTTCTAGTGTTCTATTTGATTGTTTGTTTGTTTGTTTGCTCATTTTACCCAGAATACATCAATCTGGGAACTGGGATTGCTTCTTCGGGACTGGAGTGATAACTCTATCAGTACAGGGCTTGCCACACAAGTTTGATCCATGGAACCAAACAGATAGTTGGGGCTCGCTGGATGGCCAGCCTTGCCCTCATGACAAGTTACAGGGTAGAGTGAAACTCTGTGTCAACAGAAAATGATATATTACACCTGAGACATAAATCCCAAGTCTGTACTCACTCTGGCCCACGCACAAATACATATGCACACACCCCTGCAGATACAACTCCCAACACCCACACTTGAGACTTAAGCCCCATCCCTGTCAGCTACAACAAGAATTCTTGTTGACGTTAGTCTGAGTCGCCAGCCAAGAGGCACAACCTACCCAAGGAACTGACACAACCTACCCAAGGAACTGAGTTCAAGACCATCCATCCCCCCCAACCTTAAACTCGTGGTATAGCTTAGATTGGAGGGGCATCTAGCCTCTGATTCTACTTGGCCTTTTTCTTTCCTGCCACAGAATTCCAAAGGTTCCTGCATTGTTCTGCTTTCTCCCAACAGTATCGCGCCCCCTGGGAAAGTGGTGGCCCTGCTGGCAGCGTCTTTGACCCTCACTTCTCATCGGCTTCCTCATCTACCCCGTCTCTCTTGTGCAATCGGCCCCTACACTCCTCACCGCATCCTCCTGACTGCCTTGGCCTCCAAAGGCATTTTTTCCACCACACCTTAAACGTCCCCGGCTGACGCCGTTGTGTGTTTCATGGAGATCTTGCTCCCCCACTCTCTTTCCGTCCGTTGGAAAGACCCCAGGGCTCAGCGCCCGACCCCCTCTTCACAGAACGTCATTCTCACGCTCCCGTCTCCAGCCTTGGAATCGCCACCATTGACCTAAACTCCCCCTCTTCGTTGTAACATCGAGACTGAAGTCCTTCCATGGTAGCATTTACTGTCCTCCTTAGCCCTCCTCCTCTGCCTTTCATGCTTACTGACCAGTGCTGGCGTTTACTGACTGACCCCCTCAGGAAACGAGAATGTCCACTTTCTCTTCTTTTCATGTGTTTTGTAAAACACACCCTGTTCTGCTGACTCACAAACTCCATTCCTTCTGCTCCCTGGGGCATCTTCTGATACTGTCGATCAAGCTTGCTGACCCCGCCTACCTCTACCTTGTTGGACATCAGTAGACGACCTCTCAACCCTGACTCTCCTCTTTGCCTTTTCCCATGCCCCAAATTCTCATAGAAGCATCTCTTATATATTCCTAGGCCCATCCCTTTCAGGTCATACCCTTTGTTACGCCCCTACTGGCGACTGCCTGTATTAACAGTGTCTCCTCTGCCTCCACAAAATGTTATTTCTTCTTGTTAGATCTAGCCTGTATACAAGCCTGTTCGTGATGGTTTCATGCATTACAATACTTGGTGCTCCCTTAGTGTCCCTTGGATAAAACTCCAAACTTGTCAGAAGTCATAATACACACCTATGATCCCTTCATTAGTAAGGGGTGCGGACTGGCAAGCGTTACCTTAGTATAATAGTGTGTGTTTAAGGTGCAGACGATAATGTTGTGTTTTATCACTGGATAAAATGGGTGTGCACATGTGTGAAGAAAGCACAGAGGCAGAAATGCGAACCATCTAGATCAGTGGCTCTCAACCTAAGGATTGTGACCCCTTTGGGGTCAAATGACCCTTTCACAGGGTTTGCTTAAGACCATGGGAAAACACCAATATTTACATTACGATTTATAACAGCACAATTACACTTATGAAGTATCAATGGAGACAACGAGGATATGGTTTGGGGTCACTGCAACATGAGGAATTGCACTAAAGGGCCACAGCATTAGGAAGGTTGACGGCCACTGGTCTAGTCTGTAATCTATAGGTGCCTCTTGGGAAGGGGAGTGGGGCCCGGGTCTGAAGCCGTGGCAGCAATCAGTGCTCCTTTCTCTAGACAGACACAGTAGAATGAGATTTTAAACATGTGGGAAAACATTAACACATTTTAAATAGGCCTATGGATGCCACGTCTTGTTTCAAGTATGAGATACCTAGTACATCTTCAAATTATAAAATGTCTGATGCACATTCAAATGTATCACAAAAAGAAACCAGAGAGAAGTATGTATCCCAACTTGCGACAATATGAACATGACCCGGAGTCTCTTTGTGGGACTGGACCTCTCTGTTTTTGCCAACGCGCAGCCCTTTAAAGAGCTGCCAGCGGCTGAATATCTCCTAGGATTCTTCCCTAAAGGGAAATCATTACCTAACCAAAGGAAGATGATTTTCACCGGTAAGCCCGAGTTCAGAAAAAGTCTCACTTACCAATGGTTCTCACTTGAACCACAGCTCGGACTGTCCAGGAGCTCGAGTTATCCGACTGAGTGTAATCGCACACATACAAGCCCTGGTGATAGTCATAAACGGCAGCCAACTTAATGATACTGTTCTTATACTCAGGCAAGAGTCTTCCGTCCTAGTCCAAAAGACAAGAATTAATCACCTTTCAGCAACCGAGGAGTTTTTATTTCACATATAACGAAAGCTTCACAAATTCAAAGCAGGTGAAGGTAGGTCAGCTAGAAACACAGGTATCCCATAGCATGAGGGCACACTACAGTGTATGGGTCTGAGGTCACCCAAGTGTCATTTCCTGACGCTGTAGAGAAATCCAACTCCAACCAGCTCAGTGTTTCCTAGAGCAGGATTCTGTGGTCCAAGAGTATTCTAGAGTATCTAGTGTTCTCGGAAATGATGCCTAATTTAATTTTAACTAAATTATGTTCATGCGTGCTTGAGAAAGGCAACGTGTATACGCACTTTGAGAAACTTTTAGTAAAAGCAATATATAAATTACTCTCATTTGGTAGATTTAATTTGAATACAAGAACCAGGTGTGATGGCACACGCCTTTAATCCCATCACTCAGGAGGCAGAGACAGGTGGATCTCTGATTTCAAGGCCAGCCTGATTTACAGAGCAAGTTCCCAGGGCAAGACAAAGAAACCCCGTCTCAAAAAACAAAAGCAAATGGATATTTATTTTGAATATGAGAATAAACTTGTAAATAAAATATACCAACTAAATAAACTGGACTATGCAATAATTGCTGAAAGGCAGATCTCTGCAATCACAATGGAGAGGGGAACAGGGACCTGATACTGGGAAAGAGGCCTCACACGTGATTAGTAAATTAGTGTTAATGGAGAACAGGTTTTACACATAGCCAGGGAGTGTAGTCAGTAAACTTCAATAGCGTGAGAGAATTTGTTTCCAGTAAATGATCAGATAGTGCTGAACTGTGGGAGGTAAATCCCAAGTTTGTTGCAGAAAGGAATACCATTCAGGAAGAGTCTACAACAAGAAACAGCCATTCCATCCACAAGACTGTAACACCAAATACAACTTTTGTCCTGGTTTTATCTATCAGAAGAGTTCTTAATTCTTCTGTATAATTCATGTGTGATCTTGCAGCTTGTAGCAAATTACAGAGATTAATACAGAGAATACTAAGAAATCATTATTTGGCTCTGAACTCAAACAAGAACTGTGTCTTAGAGCACTTCAGCGACTTCCTTTGCCTTTCAGATGATGTCTGACGATGGCCGGAGTGCTCAAAGACCCATCCAGTCTCATTCTCCGCTATGGCCCCTTTATACACCCGTCTTGCCCTGAGGAGGCATGCTCTATGAGCTCCCAGGACTCACAAGTCCTCCTGCTTCCCCAGACCACAGGCTGCAGCTCCAGCCACAGTTGCAACAGGACTCAGGTTTGGGGAATAAGTTCCCAGAAGAATTGCCACCTCACACATCCAGGACCGCCTTTTACAGTGAGAAATGTGTGTAGTTGTTGGACACATTGTTTCTAAGTAGCTAATAAATCCTGGGTACATGGAAAGAAGTAAACACTGGCTCCTACTCAGCAGACTCTAGGCCTCCAGGCCCTGAGCCTCAGGCTTTTCTGTTACACAACACAGTGTTCTAGGGGACCGCTCCACAGCACATTTCAGCTCATGCAAAACGGGGCTGCTCCCTTGAGTCCTTGCGGAGTTGTAAAGAATACAGAGTAACTAGTTAAAGTTAAACTAGTTAAAGGTGGCCTCTGGATGTGTCTGGTATCTGTTTCTCTACTAAACAGCTTTGCTAAGGGTATGTGAATTTCAGAATGCACAATGTAAGAAAGGTTTGCAAACAGGAGACTCTCGGAAACAAGACATTTTGAGGAAAGTGACAAGCACCTGGCTATGGCGCTCATGGAATGTGAAGGACAGGGGTCAGCGCACAGTAGGGGCTCAGTCAATGTCTGTGGAAGGATGGTTACCACTGCCCTAACCCTTGCAGACTAACTCACACACCATGTTTCTGTGCTAAGTGACCACCCCCACCTTCCCATGAGTACCAAGGGCAGATCTCTTAGAGTCATAATCAAAAGAAACGAGATAGGCGAAATGGTAAAATGGTGAGGATCTGTTCTCTAAGCAGATTGCGAAAGTTTTCTTGTATGTATGATCATATACGGTAATCATTTTCGATCGTAAACCTTCTACATGCCACTGCCTCACGCATCAGGCTCCCCCAAAGGGGCCAAACATCCCTGCTGCTTCCGGTGGGGGGGGGGGTTCGCCACCTCCCTCAGGGACCTTTAGGAACAGACACCTCACTTTGTCTTTGGAAACGGATGGCTCTTTCCTCCTGAAGCTTGAGTGTTGTCTGTGGTGCCGTCTCTTTGGTAAAACACTCTCCTAAAGAATGGTTTGTCTCAGTGTGTACCCTTTCATGAACCACGGCTTCCCTTTCTCCCCACGTGACCTATCCCTCGCCCAAAGGAGTCTCTGTTTTGGGATTTGCATGGATTTTGTTTCCCATGTTACCAATGAGAAGACAAATACTTTAGTGTTTAAAGGAAAGCCAGCATAAGAATGCCTAGTAAATGAGAGAACTCAATACTAAACAAAATTTTTCTAAGAGTTTCATTTACTGATTGAGGAATTTCCCTCCCATTGGTGGTCACACAGGTAGAAGTAAGAATCTCCCCTACCCCCCAACCCCCCCCACACACACCTCCAAGTGTCTGGACCAGTTCCTGTGACCCAACAAAGAACTTCCCCTAAGGTGTCAAAGAGTCTGAGTGGGCCACACTGGTCACTGGGAGTAGCTACAAGACAGGATGAAGAGCCAGGGCAAAAGGCAGAGACAGCCAGCTTAAATATTTACCAGGTGATGGCAAAGATCAAGAATGCTCCAGTCAGTAGTGAAGCTAAGAACAAGAAGGAAATTCCAGAGACAAAACATTTGAGAACCCAATAAGAGCATACAAAAAAATGTATAAGCATAGAGCATGGGCATGCATTAAATCTTCTGAGAAGCTGATGGAGGGAAACACCATCACTAAGACCTTAGTCAACAACGCACTGAGGAGGGTGGATCCACAGGTAACCAAGTAGACCACTTCCTCATTTTGTAGATGGTGATCATGACTTGGTGTGTGTCATCAAAAGACTTTGTGAAGCAGAACTCAGAAGAAATGTCAGAGAAATTGGGAAGGAAACTTATTCAGAGAGAGAGAGATAGGAAACTCATCAGATTATTCCATGGCGGGCAAGCCCGGCAGGAAGAGAGGCAGACACATCTGCCCAGAGTATTGTGTGATGCTCGGAGGTGAAACCTTACAAAACGGAAAGAACCAAGGAGGAGCGTCCACAGTGTGGTCTGTGTGAAGAGTCAGGAGTCCTAGGAAAAAAGCAAGTGAAAATCCTGAAGGTATTAAAAACGGAAGTTTAGGGGTGCGTGCGAGGGAAAAGCAAAGCCATTCTTAGTAAGAGCGCAAGCGCTGAGATTTTGTAATGTACTGTCCTGAAGTTTTACTGCCAGGCAGCACAGCACCAGGGAGCACACACTAACTTACTAAATCCAGATGCCTTTCACCTAAGGCATCGGTTTTATTGAGGACATTTTTCTTTTCATTGTGTTTCCAGAAATTAGGGGGAAAAATGAAGAGGAAAAATAACAGGTATTTTAATTCTGAATTTTCAAACATTAAGTAATTAAGAACATGCAAGTACAGTTAGAGCTCTCCTTTAACCTGCTCCTAGCAGGGAAGGAAAGAACTGGTGAGCAGAAGCCCTCACTATTTTAGTTAAAGCCAACCTTGATCCAGGGACATGGCTAAGTGTACACCTATGTATGGAGCATAGTCCCCACCTTTACTCACCTTGAGTGGGGTGAGCTGCAACCCAAAGACATCCCCAAACCCGCAGAACATCTCAGAGTCCTGCTCAATAAAGATTCCACAGGACAGCACTTTCCAGCCAGGAAGGGTAACCCAACTGACCCCAGGCATCTGAGTGACTAGCTTGCCAGACTGCAGAGTCCAGCCAATCACCTCAACAGACCACGGAGTAAGTTAGCAGTTCCCTGAGAGGACCAGTGATGTCTCAAATTCCTGAGAATCTAGTTTAACTCCAAGTGCTCTGAGGCTGTAACTTTAGCCCCATCCAGATGCCTAGGCTAGACTACGCCTTGAAGTTCTGTCACCAACAGAGAGCACTTATGAAGGACAGAGCAGAGATATTTCCTCATGTGCAGGGTCAGCAGTGACATAAAGATTATGAAACAGCAGGGCATAGGACAGTTGAAAGGAAATGGGTAAAATTCCAACAACAAACACTGACACACAGAGATCTATTTAATAAGTAAAGGGTAGGCAACAACAACAACAATAATAGCGGCTTGAAGCTTGAAGAACTGCAAGAAAATGCAGATGGGAAAAATAGAATTTGAAAGCCATTCCTAATAATATTAGAAGTTGGGAAAATAAATGACATTTTTTAAAATAAAAATTCATTAAAAAGAGAGAGAGAGAGAGAGAGAGAATACATTCACAAGCAAAAATTCCTTAAGATAGTCAACAGTGGACTCGATCAGCAGAGAGCTCCGGAGTGGAAAATCCAGAATCACCCAGCGGAAGAGCAAGGACCAGACTGGGAGAGCGGGCAGTAATGAAGAGGCTCACGGGAGTTATTGAGTCCCACAAGAAGAACCAAGCTTGGCTCAACCAAAGCTGCAAAAGTCTAAAAGAGCACATCTAGAGAAATAGCAGCTAGTATTTTCCCAAATCCAGAGAAGGGCAACAACCCCCTGGTGTGTCCTTTTCGCAAGAGTTGAAACACGCCACATTAGAATAGATATAAATACGGCCACCAGCAGAATTCTGAGCAGAAACCTGGCAGGTCAGGAAGGATGGACATGATATGTCCAGAACTCAGCCTGTGCAGTTGTTGGAATGTGAGTGGCTCTACAGACTCGTATGTCTGGGTGGCTGGAACTGTTTGGGAACAGTTGGGAGGCCTGGCCTTGTTGGTGGAGATGAGTCACAGATAAGGCTCTGTTAGGTGGGCAAGCACTTGGGAAAACCATAGCACGGTGAAAACATGGGATGTTTTTGTTGTACCTGCTTACCAGCTTACTTAGCATCGTTATTCTCTCGTGCCCTCTTCCTTAGCAAGCTTTGCACAAGTCACTCATTACATGGTGACTTGCTGTGTTTACCTTACCATCCTCCCCTTTAGAAACTACTCAACTACTCTGTTTTTTGTTGTTGTTGTTTGTTTTGTTTTGTTTTTCAACCCAGCTTTGTAGCTGCCCAAGCTGGCCTGGAACTCACAGAGATCCCTGCCTCTGCCTCCCGGGTGCTGGGATAAAAAGCGTGTGCCACCACTGACTAGCATCTGCTACTTTGTTTTAAAACTTCATTGTATCTAGCTCCCCTCCTCTTTCTTAGCAATGCCGGTTACTCTCTATGACAACGTAAGTGGACTAACCTATCCAGAATTCGAGGGATGCCTGTTTTGCAGCCTCCCACAAGTATGACATCCTCACCTGCTGGCCTTTTCTCTTGATGTTGATCAAAAGGGTGGCTCCATCAATCAGAAGAGCAAGCTGTACTCTACATAGGGTCAAATCCACTTTAGAATGTAGACCTTTTGCACAGGAACATAGCAGCCTTTCTATGGCTCTGGGTCCCGGGCTCTCTAATTCATGTTTCTATAAGGAGTCTACAGAGACAAAGCCATAAAACAGTGCTCTTGCACTAGTTTTAGAAAATCCATTCATACCTGGTACCAGGTCATCTTCGGACTCTGTGCATCACTTTGGCAACTGAGACCGGGGCAATAAATGGAGCCCGTGCTTCCAAGAAATAGGTATTGTTTGTACCCTGCTGGCTTCCCACAGGACACATTTCTCTCAGGCTTAAGTTCTAAGACGGTTTTGATACAACAAGCCATATCCTGGGGACTCCTAGGAGATAGACAAGGTCCTGTAAGCACTTGTTGAGGTCACAGAGAATTTGAAAATATTTTCAGACTCGGATACCTTTGGGACATACCTAATCCTGGGTCTACAGATATATGACCCAGCATTGTTCATCGGTGGGGTCAATATATGCAGCATGCCTTTGGTCTGCACGTAAGGAGAGTGTCTACCGATCTCCTCTAATGGACCTCCACTTGGAGGTTGCACGTACCACTGGACGTCAGATAGGTCCTGATCACCACTACAGCGTGTGTGGGCAGAGCCTTGTGCTGGTGACAGTTGACTTATAAGGGAGACCTGTGGCTTCCGAAGCTCTGGTAAATCACAAAATAGGACAAAATCCTCTGCACCCTTCACGGGATATGTCCAGAGAACTCTTTTGGTGGCACAAGCTGAAAATTACGGCAAATGAAACAATGCAGAGAAACATGTTAGGAGGTATTGATGTTTGCAAATAGACGCAGTATAACAAAGGATTAAGCTTTCTCTTCTATATTGTCTACTGTGTCAATTTCGTAGATGAAAATGCCTCATTTTCTGATCCCCCCCCCCCGTGGGCTTGTGTCTTAACTTGCTGTGGGTGATAGGTGAGCAATCATGCACTCCTCCTCAGATGTCCCCACTGAATGCCCAGCTGTGGTCAATGGGATCTCCCCAGCTGTGTGTGGTATCTGCTGGAAACAGTCCCGACCAGAAACTCTTCTCCTACTCCTTTTAACAGCGAGAAAATGCTGTGTGCTAATAAACCAGGTTGCTTGATGGACCAGATTATGTATCACTTTGGATTTTGACCACAAGACTCACAGTGTTGCTACACAAAGCAAAGGGCCCTACCTGAGTGATCAAATCCCGAGGTCTGCTTTCCTGCAACAAAGCAAATGAATACCCAGCCCAAGCGGAGCATGGTTCTTCTCTGCTCCTGTCATGGCTTCAGTGACTTGCCATTGCCAGTGTGGAGTGCGTGGACACTGGGCGCTCTTTCTGTGGCGTCCTCTTCACTTATGAAATGGGAAATGGAGAAATCAAAACCTGTGATCAAGCCCCAAGTCACACAGGAAACCCTAAAAGGGCACCCAAACAGGCCTCTGGAAGCCGTGAGACTGAGACTGTGTGGGTATCCTCCAGGGGTGTGGAGGAGCTTCCTCCATGTGTCATCTCTCTCTAGCACATCCAAAGGATGAACAGCTCACATGCAGGGTTCCCTGACCACCTCACACGGGTCCCGGAGTATCTTCTAATACCATTCCCCTTCACTAATTCTTATTTTTTTTTCTTATAATACTCCCATCTACTGTGTATATTTCTATCAGTAGTCTGGAAAAATAATATTTTATTTTCCTTAAAAAAAGGATGATTTTTATGGAAATGACATATTCTACGTTTAGGGAAAGCTGATGATTGAGCTATCTATAAAAATCTGAGACATTAAAAAAGAATGGCTCAGTCATCTCCAACTCAGAAAACCAACTAATGCCTAACATAAAAAGAGAAAGAAAAACAATTAAATCAACAGGAAAACAATCAGCAAAAGCATAAGAGTCAACAAATCCCTTTCATTAGTAATCCTAAATGTAAGCGGTTTTAATTTGCTGATGAAATCATTCAAACTGGCTGAATAGATTAAAAAGTAAGAGCCAATTATTTGTTGTCTCTAAAAAAACACTCCTGTATTAGTTATTGCTTTACTGCTACAATAAAACACCATGGCTGATGTAATATATAGAAGAATTTATTTGAGCTTGTGGTTCCTGAGGGTTAGAGTCCGTGATTGCAGGGTGAAGCATGATGGCGGGAGCAGGAAGCCCCACACCCCCTAACACCCCCTAAACCTACCCAGGCAGCACCATCTACTAAGGACCAAATATTTAAATGGACATCTCATTCAATCTGCTTTACTGGCAAAGACCACATACAGACTGAAGGTGAAAGTCAATATATCAGGCAAATGGAAGCCAAAAATAAATGGGAATAGTTATGCCTAACAAAGTAGACTCTGTGCCATAATGAGAAAATATAAAGAAAGTTAATTCATATTAAAAAAAAGAACGTGATTCATCATAAAAATAGAATTGTTATAGATGTGCCGAACATTAAGGCAGCAAATTTCATTTTAAAAAATATTATTGGACATACAGAAACAGACCCCACTACAAGAACGCGGAATGGTTTGAACATCCCATTTTCATCAGTACAAGATCATCAAACACCATGAACAAACTAAACCTTGGCATTAACTTGCACCATAGATCAAAGAGGCTTACTAGACATCCATAGAATATTATATCTAAAAGCTCCAGAATATGCAATATTCTCAGTAGTTATAGTAGCTACTGCCATTGCTGTTGATCACATAGCAACACAAGAGCAAACCCATTCTGGGAGGTTGTTTACATGGGACAACACCTAAAATCTCTTCTCTCCCAGTGTCTGCCCTTAAAAGACCACCTAGTGTCTAAGTGTTGCCTTTCATTGTACCATCACCCAAGCACTTCAAGGATTCAGAAGAAATCATTCATTCATATGCAAAGTATAAACCACACATGGCTGCAGATTCTGCTCCCTGGAGAAAAATGATTGGCAGGTGGCAGTGAATGTGTCACTTAACCTTTGCCATTGTGGAAAACACTTTGGTTGTATTTCTCATTTCCCAATGGATAGCTAAAGGTCTCATAGCTCACAGCAACGGTGCTAGAGAACCACATACCTGCTCAGCAGTAGAAGAGGGAGTCATATGTAGATGCAGGGGGTTTCAAAGCATCTCATTTTTGCCATCACTTCCTACCATCCTCCACAGAAGAAGGTAAGAGGACAGTGGGATGATTTGGAAATCTTCAAGGTCTCTTTCCTGAAATTTTCCACAAGGGTTTTATTTAAAAACAACCAAAAAAAAAAAAAACCTGTCTTTTTCTCAGAGGCAGAAGACATACTCTGAAGTCATTCAAAGACAGATGTCCAAACGTATTTTACAGTACTAAGTATTTCAAAGAAGAAAGCTTTTGCTGAGAGGGAAAAATGCCAGAATGATGACCAGGAAAAGACACTGAGTCCTGTTCACATCCTTAAAACACAAACAAACAAACAAAAAAGAGGTGTGGACTTCTCTAATAGTTCCAGTATTTGAAGAATAGCAGGATGATGTTCACATAGTCCATGGCAGCCTGTTCAGTGCTTGCCTTCAAGGATAGACAAATGGCAGTGGTCATTCAGATTTGGCAAGCATTTTGGACCCCTCTGCTTACACTCCTTCCAATAAAATGCAAGCAGCACTGTAAAAAGAAGGTTTACTTTGTAACAAGTCATCCCTCCCCCCCAGTGAAGATTCAAAAAGACATTGAGATACAAATGTTGCTACTTAATAACACATATGTTGCTTTAAAATGTTCCATAAAAAGTAACTGTTCAGCAATTTAATTTTTAACTGATTTAAAAATTATTTGGGGTCAGAAAATCTAGCGAAAGAATGTTCTGGGATCTTACCTTCATTTCCTGGTCTTATAAACACACACAAAAATAAGGAACTTCAAGTCTCTATGTCAGTGACTGTCGGCTTGGGCATCTGAAGAAAAGCGTGAAAAGCATCCATTTTCAAAGAGTTCTAATATATATATATATATATATATATATATATATATATATATATATACTTAGCAAGAGAGTTATTTGGAGAAGAGATAAGAATTATCCAACTCATACAGTCTGGAGATAATGAGTTATACCCAGACAGAAAAACGAAAACCTTTGTATTTTGTAAAGGACTGCTGGCATTGGAAAATGCATGGTCGTAACAAAGGAAAATCAAGTAAACTACCTCTATCCACCACAGAAGAAAAACTTGTGAAATTAAGCATTTAAAGCTGTTCTCTGGCCAGCCTCCTTGACTAGAAAAGCTTTGTGGTTAGGTTTAGTTGAAATGGTGAGTAAGCCAGCTTCCTTTACAGGAATTTCCTGTACAGAATTTTAACTAACACTCAACACCATTTCTTAACAGGGGAGTTCTCGTTTCTTCTTATAAAACTAGGACACTGTCATTGCCTTTAATTTCAAACCTAAAGGCTTTCCTTTAATGAATTTTTAAGTGTTCGTCTCGGCAATATCGCTTAGAGGAAGCAACAATTCATTGATAAAGAAAGTAAAATAAAATTTGAACATTGAAAGTCATTGAAGCTATATAATATGTACTTATGCATGGAAAGGAAACCTTGGAATATATAATTAAGAACTCTGCCATAATTAGGACAATTCAGAGCACTAAGCAGCCACAGTAGTCACAAGGAATATTGTCTATAAAGCATCTTAATTAACCGCATTATCATCCTCCCTCAAGAGACTACTATCCCCATGAAGATAAAGATAAAGCACAACAAGGCACTAGGGTTATTTCCACACAGGACTAGAAATAATAAAATACAGAGACGAAGCTCATGTCAGAGTGTCTACCTGAGGTAAAAGTGGAAGGCTTTAAGAGGAATTAGCAACTGAAGAAAGGTCTAAGTCGTAAAAGACACGTGTCCATGTTAGTCATGGACCAATCTAGAATTCCAAGAGGATGTGAGATTTTTCTTACAGCCTACTGCAATGTGTAACACGTTCAGTAGAAAAGACATAAGGGCACATGAAATTTAGGCTCACAGGGTCCTGCAGAGACATCCCAGTAACAGAAGGGCTTGAAAAGGGAATGGCAAGGGGAAAATAGGGTGTTGTTCGTGGCAGCTCTTTAATTCATGTTAAAGTGTGTATTCAGGCTATCCAAGGGTTGGGGGGGTATCTTTATCAAGTTTCAGAGACCCTGACATAGACCTTAGAGTTGATTCTGAAGTTATTGTTGGGATGGTCTGCTAAAGTTTAACATATCACTCATAAACTGCATTTGGAAGACAAAAGCAGGAAGAGATGAAGGTTTAGCCACTACAGGGAAAAAAAACAAAAAAACAAAAAACTCAAACGTGTTTAACACTTTGTACAGTTCAAACATCTTGGTTCTATCTCATGGATAAAAAAAAATGCCCCAGAATAGATGATGCAGAAACATCTCATAGTATATGGAAATTTAGTAAAAAATAGAAAAGGGCATCATCACAAATTACATGACCTTTGGTAAGTGTGGTGTGGTAACGGGGCAGCCATATGGAAAAATGTGCAATGAATCTTTTCCTCACACCTCAGAGCAGACCGTCTTCCAAATGGACTGGGATTTAAAGTGTGAAAAATGTTAATCTACACAAGTATTAGAAGGGTAGTTTAATTCTCTGTGATCTGGGGATAAGTAAACACAAAAATAGGGTAAAAGGATAAACGATAAGCCCTGGAAAATATTTGTAACTTTCATGTCAAAATCTTGTCATCTCTAACATGATAGGATCCTGTGGCAGTGGAAATATGATCTAAGACCTCCACAAAATGTTGGCAGAAGGCAAAGGATATATTCCTATACATTGCTGTTGGGAATGAGAGACAGCACAGGTTCTGTGGGGAGAAATAAGGCAGCAACCCTGCATCTTGGACATGAAGTCAAAAAGAAAAAAAAAATTCAAGCAAAAGAATGTGGAGATGTGTTTAAATAATATTGTCCTTCATAATGTCACATGGAAAAGCACAATGCCAGAAACCCTTGACTGGTTGAATAAAGAGTAACATAAGAATGTTCCAGGGACTTGCTTGAAGTGGTGGGAACTAGTTTCATATGCGATTATGGAGTTGTTACTAAAAACGGTTTTGAGGGTTATGTTGGAAAACTGGTTGTAATCACTAACATTTATCTGTGAGTGATATAAATATCCATGCATATTTGTTCATAATAAAATATGCACATGTAAGTCAAGATCAGTTATTTAAATATTTACCATCTGGTATAGAATACACAGGTAATAGAGAGAGGAATGGAAAGTGACTTCCGTATGAACTTTACTTTGCAGATTTGCTCTGAAAAAGAAAGGGAATCTTTTTCACACAAAATGAAAATTTAAGAAACAGCCCCTATAAATAAAAAATATGAAGAATTAACCTAACTCTACTGAATCAACAAAACATCACTAAAAGATAATTTCAAATGCCTTGAGAACTCAATACTTAATTACATCTTTTATTAAAATATTCTCAAGGGGGAAACCCTGTTTAAAATAATCACAAATTTCTTTTAGTTAAAAAAAAAAATAAAACTAAAGTTGAAGTGTTAAAATTATTTCAAAGCTACTATATTCTGGGCATTAAAGGAAATGAATAATTATATCAATTAATAAAGAACTGGACATCGGTATGCAAATGATACTAATATGAAATTGATGACTGACTAAA